CGCCCCCCCCCCCGCCCGGCGCCCCGCCCCCACCTGCCGCAGGAGGCTCGAGGAGCAGCCGCTGTCCACACTGGCTGCAGAATTTGGGGGCTTGCTCGCTGGAGACGTGGCGGCACTCGGGGCACTCCATGCCTGGAGGGGCCGCTGGCCGCCAGCCCCGTCCCCTGCAGACGCGCAAGAAAGGGCAGAGTCCCCGCGCTGCGGGCTATAAGCCGCGCCTCCTGTCACGTGACCGCGGTGCTACTTCGGTTTCATTTTCTGAGAAAGTGAAATTATCATGGCCCAGCGGGTCCCCCGTTGGATCAAAACCCAGCACCAATTGTGTCCTCTGCGCTGCTCGGGGGCACTGACCCACCCCAAGTCTAGCTCCGTCCTGGCCGAAGTCCCTCCCCTCTTGGCTCTCTGGGGCTCCCCCTGCCCTCCAAGTCCCTGCTGCTGCTGTCCGTCTCCCAGTAAGGCCCAGGCTGTGCAGCACAGACCGTGGGCCCAGCCGTTTCTCCGAGGCGACTCCTGAGAAGGGGGGAGCACAGGCAGAGTCGCAGCCTGTGTGGACCCTGACAAAGGACGCGGGGGCCACCTGCCCGTCCGCAAGGCAGCTGCTGTGCCGGTGACCCTGCTGGCCCGGGTGTCTCGGGGCCCTGCCATGCACGTAGGCAGAACACCTGCCCGCAGGTAGCCACAGGTGAGGATTAGGTGAGGCACCCAGTAAGGACGGCTGGCACTACCGACAGCCCCGGCGAGCCCTGTGAGGGCTTCGGGGAGTCCCACAGCGGAGGAGGCCGCCTCTTCTCACTGACCAAGGCCCTGGAGCACCCTCTGGGGTGGGTGGTGTCAAACTAGGGAGAGGTCACAGACCGGCGGCCGGAAGACGAGTCTACCCATCACCCCTCTGCTGGCCTCGAACAAAAGAACCCGGAAAGCAGAGGCTGGACGGCTCCTCCCACTGCTCAGAGGCACCCGAGGCCCGGGGACACCCTCCCAGCGCCTGGCTCATCCCTCTCCTCGGCCTCCACTACCTGATAATAAGCTCTTTAGGGCAGGGCCCAGATGGTTGGGGGCGGGGGGAGGCTGGCGCATTTCCCTGCTTCACCTGGGGCAGCCCCGCCCTGGCACCTACCGTGCCTTTCCCCTCTGTGGGACCCAGACCCGGAGTCGACCACGACCAGTGGGGGCCGGGCCCCTACCACCCAGGGCCCTTTCCACTATTGGGGAGAGAAAAATGGCTTCCTTCCACCCACCTAGGTTCTCTGGCTGGGCCATGAGCAAAATCAGCAAGAGACAGATTAACACGAGGGGAAAAAAATGTGTGCATATTTAATTACATATTTACGCCCTCTCTGAGTCCCACAGAATCCAGGAGTGCAGGAAGGATCAGGCAGCTGGAGGTTATGCAGCCTCCAGAGCCACGGAAAAGTATGGGCTAGGGCTGGAAGTGGTGAGGCCCGTGGGCACGTGCGCGGAATTCTGCGCTGAAGGAGCGCCTCTGTCCTTCTGCACGTGCGGTTTCTCAGTTAGTGAGAGCTGTGTCTTGGGGCCTGCTTTCCTTGTTAATGCAGATTTTCTTTACGGATGTAAATTTTTCTCACTAGAAGACTCCTGGACCAGCCATCCTAGGTGGCACAAGTCTGTAATGCCAGCCCTCTAGGGGGGCTGAGGCAGGAGGATCGCAAACGCCAGCCCAGCCAGGGCAACTTAGAGACCCAGACAAACCAGCAGCGAGGGGTGCAGGGGTGGAAAGGAGGGAAGGGGAACGGGAAAACAAGAACTAAGAGATATCGCGTACGGGCACAAATTCTCCATGACGACTGTGATCGTGACGTATACCTAAAATGTTCCAATAAAGTTAAATTTTAAAAAGAGAAAGAAAAGGGTGGAGATGAAGCAAAGGCCCTGGGTTCAGTAACCTGTACCGCAAAAAGAGGAAGGGAGGGAGGGGAGGGGCGTTTGACCCCGCCCCCAGCCTGCAAGTGCTCGCTCTGCCCGCTCCCCAGGCCGCTTTCAGGAAGGGTCGCCACCTTGGCCTTGACCCCCTGGCCCTGGGAGTTGGGAGGAAGGAGCGTCCTGAGCGCGGCGGCTCTGGGCAGCCACGCTTTTCTCCAAATCAGTGCGGCTGCAATTAGCGTGGAAGGAGGGGAGCTGAAGGGCCCGGGGTGTGGAATTAGGGGGCGCAGCCCGCAGATCCGGCCCGGCCCGGCCCTGCCCAGAGTCGCCGGGGCCCCCGAGAGGAGGTCACAAACGTCTTGAAGGA